GAAAGTAATTCAGACAAAGGAAAGTTAATTCCTATCATCCACAAGAAAACAAAATATGTTGGTATTGGCTTTGTACAACAAGATTAAAAAGGGGAGAGAGAGCAAAAGCAAAGAGATTAGATGGCAGAGAACAGTTGCCTTGAGTATAAAAGTGGAGTCACAGCAGCCTAACTGTCAGCAAAATTCTGGGATTCGCTGAGATCATTCCCCAACACACGGAGCATCATGAGGTGGTTGATCCTGGCATTCGTTTGCGTCCACCTGTCAGAGGGCTTACATAGGTGAGTATCCCAGCTAAGGGCATGCATTAAATGAAAAGAGCATTGAAGCACTTAATCCAGACCACATACTTTTAGCCAAAAGTGATTGCAAAATCATGTTTTTATCATTCCATGGCAAGCTTTGTATGCCTGCTTCTTCACTGAATTTCTTGTTTCTATAGGACTTGTTTAATGGGATATTACAGTTTTCAGTAAGAAAAATATTAAAATTACGGGGATAGTTGTGATAGTGAAGCATACTCTGGCTACCTTTCTTGGCATGTAGAATCATTCTGAAGAAAGGAAAATCCACTCGTGAAAATATGAGAGAGAATGGAGTGCTGGAAGAATTTTTGGAAAAATACTATATTGATCCTGGATTAAAATATCAGTTCAACAAATTCAGTGTTGCATATGAACCAATGACCAATTACTTGGATGTGAGTATTTAAACCAGAGAAATCTGTATTTTCCTCTCCTGCTCCTTTCTCTAATTTTGTAGCTCTGGCATTAGTAGTAATAGCGTATACTAAATTCAACAGGGGCTTATCTGTTTGTTTAATCAGTGACGTCATCAGGTTGTTCTGGAAGTGACACCATCAGGTTGCTCCAGATATGATGTGCATAACCCTCCTCCCCACGTGATGCAGCGCTCACAAGGTCATAATGCTAACCAGACATGACATGTTGAACCTAACCCTATCATCAGGAAAGGTGTGATGGTCAACCCTAGGGTGTCTAATTAGCTTAACCCCAAACCTATGGGTGTTCAAATCAAAATCTAAGTAAAGTGAATAATTAACAGAACCCCAGGCTGCGCTGTACTTGGGAAGCAAACCCTATTTGGGCCTTGTGAAAGAAGTAATAGCCTAATGATGCTTTAATTTTATGGAGTTTAAAATCAGCGCCTAGGATGCAGGAAAAGGAGATCCTAAAAAGGCTTTATTTCTATGCCGTTTTAAAATCATCCCTTGAATGCAGGAAAAACGACTTTTTAAACCACAGCAGCCCCAGAGTCATTAACCTAACCCTAACCCCAACCCATATCCTAAGGGAAGTGAAA